TTCTTTCTTTCTTTCTCTCTCTCTTTCTTTTTCCTTCTTTTTTGCTTATTTGTGACTTTTGCCCATTTTTGCTCTTATTATTAAAGAGCATTTTCCATTTACTGTTTCTCCAGAAGCTGCTGGAGAATATGTTCCACTAAAATAAAAAAATAAATCAAGAAAAAAGAAGACATTGGATGCAGGGAACAAGAGATTAATATACAGAGAGACAAAGGAATTTCCAGCATGATGTCAAGGAACAGATCCAGGACAATGATTCTATCACTTCGTTAGAAGACTACTATTTTATTTTATTTATTTTTTGAGACAGAATTTCATTCTGTTGCCCAGGCTGAAGAGCAGTGGTGCCATCTCAGCTCACTGCAACCTCTGCCTCCCAGGTTCAAGCGATTCTCCTACCTCAGCCTCCCAAGTAGCTAGGATTACAAGTGTGTACCACCAAGCCCAGAAAATTTTTGTATTTTTAGTAGAGACAGGTTTTCGCCATGTTGGCCAGGCTGATCTCAAACTCCTAACCTTAGTGATCCACCTGCCTCAGCTTCCCAAAGTGCTGGGATTATAGGCATGAACCACTGCACTGGCCAAGGACTGCTAGTTTAGATTGGTGGAGGACAATGGAAAACTAACTGCAGGTGTGGTATCTCTGGGCAGGAGGTGGGGAGAGGAGAAGGAATTGGTAGATCATCTGACAGCACTGACCAACTGATCATGTAAAACTTGCATAAAAACATTTCAATGTTGGGTAGTGTTGCAAGATTTAACCACAAGTTTAAAGTAATCTAAGTACATTAAAAATGGAGTTGGTACATGCATCCAAAATATTGAAATAGTGCTTAGCAATCAAAATAAATGAGCTATCAAACCATGAAAATACATGGATAAATCATAAATGAATATTGCTAAGTGAAAGACACCAGCTTACAGACAAGCAAGGCGCAGGGGCTAGAATAATCTGTGTGGTAATGGATTAGAGTTAGAGAAATCAGCATGAACTCAGGTTTACCTTCATATGGTTTGGATGTGTGTTTCCCCCAAAGCTCATGTTGAAATGAGATCTCCAATGTTAGAGGAGGAGCCTGGTGGGAGATGTTTGGGTCCTGGGTGTGGATCCCTCATGAATGGATTGGTGCTGTCCTTGCAATAATGAGTGAGTTCTTGCTCAGTTAGTTCATGCGAGGTCTGGTTGTTTAAAAGAGTCTGGCATAGTGGTGCATGCCTGTAATGCCAGCTACTAAGGAGGCTGAGACAGGAGAATCGCTTAAACCTGGGAGGCGGAGGTTGCGGTGAGGCGAGATGGCACCACTGCACTCTAGCCTGGGCAACAAGAGCGAAATTCTGTCCCCACCCCCCAAAAAAAGCATATATATAACATGCATATATATAATCCTAGAATTTTGGGAGACCAAGGTGAACAGATCAGTTGAGCCCAGGAGTTGAAGACCAGCCTGGGCAACATGGCAAAATCCTGTCTTTACAAAAAATGCAAAAAAAATTAGATGGGTGTAGTGGCATGTCCCTGTGGTCTCAGCTACTCCGGAGGCTGAGGTGGGAGAATCACTCAAGCCCAGGAGGTGTCAAAGCTACAGTGAGCTGTGACTGTGCCACTGCACTCAAGCCTGGGTGACAAAGTGAGACCCTGTCTCCGAAAACAAAAAAAGATGAAAAAATATCATGCCTAAAGACATTAAACATTTCAAATTATAATAACAAATTTGACGTGACAAATTATCCAACATTTTAGATAATTTAAAGTTTCTAAAACATTTCAAACATTTACTTCATTATCTATGCTTTCATGAGATAAAGTCCCTTATCCAAGAGAAGCTAGCCAACTAGGCTTATTTAGTCGAAGACTTGGTACCACAATATAATTTTGAAATTTGAGATTTGAGTTACAGTAAGATATTCTGTACTAAAATATTGGTTCTTAGCTCTATTTCCAAGACGATTCTACCTACACCCCAGGTTTTCATGCCAATTCCTTCTAACAGTCTTGGAAATACCACCTTTAGATGCAGGCAAGAGAGGCTCCTGCTCTGGGTCCAATGCTTTATAGGACTTCATATCACAAACACACATTTATTTTAAAAAAACAAAATATGTCTTTGTCATTCTGAATTCTGTGCTCAGCATGGAACCAACATGACCTATCACCCTAAACATCCATTCTCTCGGTGAATGCTCTTCAGGCCCCAGGGCAATCCTTTTCCACTGCCTGCGCCCAGTATCCATGGAACAAAATGGATTGTGGCTGCTGCCTGTGTTGGTGACAGAATGCTCTGGATTTGAGCATCAGGAGGATTAGGTAAGAGAAAAGACAAATTAACTTGTCAGATCTTTTCTCTCAGATAACATGAATGCAATAGATTCTTGCATAATGAAGCACTGTTTCCCAGGAGTACCACACATCTATTTTCTTGCTTCTCTTTTTGTTCCATTTGTGGCTCACGCTAATTAATGTGGTATCTGTGAAGTTTCACTTTGTGACTAAGGAATATTTTGCAATATTAAACAATTCATATTAGTCTTAAATGTGCCCATGTGTAGGTAACATGATTTGTGATGCATGACACAGGTTCTTTATTTCAGTCAGTAGATGAACATTGTATACTAGAATTATGCAATGGTCTGAATGTTTGTGTCTCCAGTCTTGGTCTGTTTTGTTTTGCTATAAGGAAATACCTGCGGCTGGGTAATGTGTAAAGAAAAGAGGCTTACTTAGCTTATGATTATGCAGGCTCTACAAGAAGCATTGTACTGGCATCTGCTTGGCTTCTGGTAAGAACCTTGGCTGCTTCGACTCTTGGTGGAAGGGGAAGGGGAATCAGCATGTATAGAGATCACATGGCAAGAGAGGAAGCAAGAGAGAGGGGTGCTGCCAGGCCCTTTTTACCAACCCCCTCTCCAGGGAACTAATAAGTGAGAACTCACTCACCCTCAAGGAAGGGCATTAATCTATTCATGAGGGATCTGCCCCCATGATCCAAACACCTCCCATTAGGCCCCACTTTCAACATTGGAGATAAAATTTCAACATGAGGTTTGGAGGGGACAAACATCCAAACCACAGCACCCCCTAAAACTCATATATTGAAACCAAATCTCCAATAGCATAATAGTATTAAGTATAACAGACTAAATAATAGTATTAAGAGGTAGGGTCTTTAAGAGGTAATTGGGTCATGAAGGCAGAGCTCTCTTGAATGGGATTAGTCCCCTTCTAAAAGAGGCCGAAGGGAGCTCACTTCCTCCTTCCACCCACCACATGAGAACACAGCTAGAAGGTGCCATCTATGAGGAAGTGGGTCTTCATCAGACATAAAATCTGCTGGCATCTTGATATTGGACCTCTCAGCCTCCAGAACAGTAGGCAGGAAATTTCTGTTGTTTATGTTACTCAGTCTAAGATATTTTGTTATAGCAGTCTTAAGGAATTAAGACAAATTGAGAATAGTTTTATTTCAATATTAATAAGATTTAATTAAAATGTCCAAAAATAAATTAAAATGCCCATTTTGTTTAAATATTTATTTATTTGAGACAGAGTCTTGCTCTGTCACCCAGGCTGGAGTGCAGTGGCACCATCTCGGCTCACTGCAGCCTCTGTCTCCCGGGTTCAAGCAATTCTCCTGTCTCGGCCTCCCGAGTAGCTGGGACTACAGGCACATGCCACCATGCCCAGCTAATTTTCGTATTTTTAGTAACAGTAGGGTTTCACCATGTTGGACAGTGTAGTCTAGAACTCCTAGCCTCAAGTGATTTGCTAGCCTTGGCCTCCCAGTGTGCTGGGATTACAGGCGTGAGCCACTGTACACAGCTTTAATTATTTTTATTTAAAATGTTGATATTTATTTGTTGATAGATTGAATTTTACTTTTCTTTTTTTTTAAGATGGAATCTCGCTCTGTCACCCAGGCTGGAGTGCAATGGTGTGATCTTAGATCACTGCAACCTCCACCTCCCAGGTTCAAGTGATTCTGCTGCCTCAGCCTCCTGAGTAGCTGTGATTACAGGTGCATGCCACCATGCCCAGCTAATTTTTGGGTTCTTAGTAGAGACAGGGTTTCACCATGTTGGCCAGGTTGGTCTCACACTCCTAACCTCAGGTGATCCACTTACCTCGGCCTCCTAAAGTGCTGGGATTACAGGTGTGAGCCACCATGCCTGGTCTGAATTTTATCTTAATTTTAATAGATAATTTAACATTTAATAACAGAAATATAATTTAATATTTTCAACATTTTATATTGCCTTTAATTTCTTTTTCTTTTTTTTTTAGACAGAGTCTTACTCTGTCACCCAGGCTAGAGTGCAGTGGAGCCATCTTGGCTCACTGTAGCCTCTGCCTCCTGGGTTCAAGCAATTTGCCTGCCTCAGCCTCCCGAATAGCTGGGATTACAGGCATGTGCCACCACTCCTGGCTAACTGTTGTATTTTTAGTAGAAACAGAGTTTCATCATGTTGGCCAGGCTGGTCTTGAACTCCTGACCTAAGGCGATCCGCCCACCTCAGCCTTCCAAAGTGCTGGGATTACAGGTGTGAGCCAGTGCACCCAGCCCTTTAATGTACGTTTTTGATGAAATGTATTAAATTGTATATATTTTGAATAAAATTACATTTTATTTTTAATCCTTTGGATCAGGGCTTGGTGAACCTTTTCTGCAAAGAGCTTGATAGTAATAAGTAATAGGAGCCACATAATAAGTATTTTAGGCATGTGATCTCTGTCACAGCTATTCAGCTCTGCAGTTATAGGTGATTACTGCAATAAGTAAAGGAATGAGTGTAACTATGTGCCAATAAATCTTTACAAAAATATGTGGTGTACTGAATTTATCCACTGGGCCATAGTTTGATGAACCTTTAGATCAATATAATGTAAATTATGTGAAGAATTTAGATTATAGCAACATAATTGGTGATATTGCTGAAATAAAGACAAATTTTATGGGATAAAATATAATTATTAATTAAACATCTTTATTTTGTAATTCATCCAGAATTGCTGCACACTAACAATATCCCCAGAGAAGCAAATGATGATCTGCTTTACTTTGGAGCAGGCGATGGTTTTCAGATTTGACACCAAGAGCAGAAGTGACGAAAGAAAAAATAGACAAATAACACTTCATCAAAAGTAAAAGCATCACAGGCTTCAAAGGACACCATCAAGAAAGTGAAAATACAACCCACAGAATGGGAGAAAATATTTGCAAACCATCTCTCTGATGACAGTCTAATATCCAGATTATTATTATTACAACTCAATGATAAAAGGACAGGGCTGGGTGCAGTGGCTCACGCCTGTAATCCCAGCACTTTGGGAGGCCAAGCTGGGAGGATTGCTTGAGCCCAGGAGTTTGAAGCCAGCCTGGGTGAGATGGTGAGGCCCCCTCTGTAAAAAATTTAAAAATTAGCTGGGTATGATGGTGCACACTTGTCCCAGCTACTCAGGAAGCTGAGGTGAGAGGATCACTTGAGCCCAGGAACTGGAGGTAGCAGTCAGCCAAGATCGCACCACCCCATGCCAGTCTGGGCAACCTCACCTACCCCTCTCTTCCCTTCTCTGATCCAAGCCATTTCTTCCTCAGCTCCCTTAATCAATGACAGGAGGCTCTTCTTGTCTCGGTGTCAGATTTCCCCTTTAGCAAAATCTTAAACAAAACAAAGCAAAACAGTAAATGCTAACAGTATTCGTTTCTTCACAGCTTCCTAAAGCTTGACTTAGCACTACTTCCCTGGGTCTGCCATTTACCAAGCTCTCCCTGAATTAGTCCTACCATTGATTCACTATTACTCTATGGGTTTTCCTTTGCTTATCTGTAAAGAGAGAATTCAAGGGTGAATGGAGTCCAGGTCCTCTCACCCTCCTGCCCTGCCCCAGTTCTTACATTTTACCTTCACCATCTCTTAAGCTTTCCTTTATATTTATTTTTGAGATGGAGTCTTGCTCTGTCATCCTGGTTGAAGTGCAGTGTTGCAATCTCAACTCGCTGCAACCTCTGCCTCCCGGGTTCAAGCGATTCTCCTGCCTCAGCCTCCCAAGTAGCTAGAACTACAGGTGGCCACCACCATGCCTAGCTAATTTTTTTATTTTTATTTTTAGAAGAGATGGGGTTTCACCACGTTGGCCAGGCTGGTCTTGAACTCCTGGCCTCAAGTGATCTGCCTGCCTCAACCTCCCAAAGTGCTGGGATTAGTGCTGCCTGCCTCGGCCTCCCAAAGTGCTAGGGTAGGTAGATGGAGGGATGCTTTGGAACTCATGTTGAAGGCAGGAGATGAGGAGAACAAGGATTAGATCCTGGACCCTTGCATTCTGTGTGTTCTCTCATTATCAAACCTCACTCTCAGGAGCACAAAGCTGAGTGACTGTGTGCACTTGGTGTGGTTATTTATACCTTAACATACTATGAATCACCTGTGCCAAGCATTGTGTTAAGGGCTTTACATGCATTATTTTATTTAATCTTCAGATAATCCTATTGTTGTTTTTCACTTTATAGGTAATAAACTAAAGGCTTAACCAGAGAAGTTACGACTCTAGCCCATGGTCATCCAGCTACTAGAACAGCTGTCTAGGATTGTTACCCAGGGAGCCCAGTCCTTAATGCAAATGTTTACATTTCTGATGCTCCTATGTCCATCTGAATACGTTTGTCAGATGGACTTATGATTGAAAGTGAGGGTAGGCACTGTGGTCCTTGATTCCCCAGAATGGAACTAGAACAGTTGCCAAGAGCAGATAAGCAGGCAAAATCTCAATGTCTTTGGCAAGGTTCTTGTTATGGGTAGTCTTTAGCCTTTCCTAAGTGATGAAAATTTAGTCAAAAAATATTCCAGCTAAGCTTCTACCCTTTCTCTCTCTTAGAATCCTATTCTTCTCTTAGCCAGGCATGGTGGCGCACGCCGGTAGTCCCAGGACTTGGGAGGCTGGGGCAGGAGGATCACCTGAGCCTGAGAGGTTGAGGCTGCAGTGAGCTGAGACTGTGCCACTGCATTCCAGCCTGGGCAGCAGAGCAAGACCTTGTCTCTCTTTAAAAAAAAAAAAATCTATGGGCCTGGAATTATCTAAAATTTAGGTTCACTTGGGCCTAGAATTGCCTTTTAGGTCATGGGATTTAGGTTCATTTGGGTCTGGAATTACCACTTGAGTCTGGTCCCAAGTGAACTAGATGTCTCCAGAGACGGAAGAGAGACATATAATGATCCCTCCACCTACCTACCCTTCAGCACCATGCTATAAAAATAAGAAGTACATACAGGTAGCAGTATGATGAGTCATAATGAGTGGCCCTTAGGAAAGGCTTAAGAGGGCTGAGCATGGGGACTCATGCCTGTAATCCCAGCACTTTGGGAGGCCAAGGCGGGCAGATCACTTGAGACCAGGAATTGGAGACCAGTCTGGCCAACATGGTGAAACCCCATCTCCACTAAAAATACAAAACTTAAATCCCATGATAGATCATTTTATCTTTTGTGTCACCCCTCTAAATATGATTTCTCTTCTTGGGTTTTCAGCAGAGATGAAGGAGAGACATATAATGATTATACAAACATTTTAATTACTGAGTTGAGACTGTATTCAGACATAAGCTGACTGGGCAGTCATAGAATTTTTGAGCTGGAAAAGAAAACTTCAAAATTATCCAGTCTAATAATTTTCTGATAGAAGAAAGAAGAACTAAAGATGGAAGCTGCTTCCTGTAGGTCGCAGGTCTGAAGAGGGGCAGTCAGAGGAGGTGACTGGACCTCACAGCGTAGTTCACTGCCAGCATCTCTGGCTCACGTGCCTGAGGCTTGTGGAAATCTGTGCCCTGGGAGAAGTGTGTGAACAGGTCAGAGGGAAACTTGAATCCTGTTCAGGGCCAGTAAAGAGAGAGGTGCAGCCACAGAAGAAGGAGGGCTGTACAGGAGAAAAGCCTCAGAGAAAGTCAAAAAGGTAGATGAGTTGAGCCCTCCTAGGGCAGGAAGATCTATATTTGAGAAATGGAAAAGGTTTAAACAGGGATTCAGGGATATTAATCTGGTGGTGTTTTGCCAGCCGCATTTGAGGAGGAAAATTTTGAGGCAAGGAGGCTGCTGGGGACACTACTGCAGTGGGCAGGAGTGTGCCAGAGGGTTCCACTCTTGGCACTTTTACATTTTACTTCCTCATGCTGCTTGTATGACTGAGTATGTATGTGATGGGGCAAGGAGAGGGGGCCTGGGGGGTAGTTCTCAGCTTGATGCTCAGCTTGAATTCAGACTTGCTGGGACATGTCTGATGAACCTGTTGGATTGCCTTCCAGATGCATGACCACTGCACACCTTGAGTAATTTCCACATGCTCTATTTCCATCCTTCCTTGCCCACCAGCGTGCTTCAGCTGGAGTGAGTCTGCTTACACGAGGCAGTCAGATGTACAAAGAGGCTATTGATGGCACACTGCAAACAAAGAAGCCAGTGGCACCAACGGCTCAACCCCTCTTCAACCCAGCTCAGGGCAGAATTTCTCCCATCGGGACAAATGGAGCAGATTCTGTGCTCATGGGTACTCTTGTACCGAGGCTCAGCTGCAGAATTCTCCATCTCTCCTGTCCGAGGCAAGCCGGCAGAGTTTTGAGTCTCAGGGCATCCTCAGAATAGGCCAGTCGTGTTCCACCAGCTGCAGACCGAGACAAATGCCTGACCTTGGGTAACAATTTCCCCAGGCCCGTAGAAGCTGGTCTGCTCGTGCCTGGATGCTTCCCTGAAGGCGGTGACGTCGAGAGTGGAGGTCTATCTCTCACTGGCCTATCTCTTCCCAATGGCCGAACATCATCCCAGGAGTGAGGTCTATTTACAAATGGCATAACTGTTTCTAGCATTTGTAGCAGAGCAGTTTAACAAATCAGTACATTCTTTGAACAGCTGTTAAATTAAACAAGCATAACTCATGAGTTGCATTTATAAAGAAACTCAAGTTTCCTCTTTCATTAACCCTTTAAATTTGGTGAAGCTGACATGTCGCCTGCACCTGGATAAACATTCAAGCAGATTCCATGCCTTTCTAGGCTTTTCTTAGTCACCTTATGTCTGAATACAGTCTCAACTCAGCAATTAAAATGTTTATATAATTGTTAAAATTCCAAATATGCCATAAATTGAGGCTTCTCCCCTCTTCTTTAGTTCTGAAGGGGCACTTAGAGGAGGGGCACTTTTGTCCCTTCTTTCCCTTCTTTTAAACTGTGATTTCTGATCCACGCAGTGGGAAGAAGCAGAAAAGCTTCCATGTGATTGGTCCTGGTGTGAGGATCTGGCAGGGAGGTTCCCTGTATTTCATGCTGACACTTTTGTTGTTGCTTTCGGTCCCCCCCATTGCTGGAGCCCTCTCAATTCAGGTGATATACTTTCCTCAGGCTCTTTGCTTACTCCGTCCACATCCCTAGGAATCTGGCCACACCTCCAGCTTCTCTTGGCTGGAATCTCTTTGTCCCTCCAGGCTACCGTCTCGTCTCGAGTAGAGTTCTCTGACCACATCAGGCCAGTCCCCTCTCTCAGTCATGGCTCCCACCTTTGCCCCAACAACGCTGTGAGTACAGTTACTTCCCATGTGCAACCCTCTACTCTGCTGCCATTTTGGTTGACACCTGTGATTGAGATAGGCATGGGGTAGGACTCACAGCACAACAGCTCTCTCTCCCAAGAAATTCTCATCTAAATCTTCCTCTCAACTCTTTTGTATCATATATATTCTTGGCCACTTTGTAAATCCTGGTCTAGCACTTCACTCTGGAATTTGGTATCTATTTGTGATTAAGCTAAAATTCCTATTTTAACATCTGATTACATTTGATTTATGACAGATTTTGAACTCAAATGCTTCTATTTTCTGAATCCTGAGCATTAACATGACATTTACTTCTTTCTTTTTTTCAAGCATAAGATACTGTCTACCATTTGGATTTATTTCCTAGGCTAGGGCTCCATGCGTCCAAGTCCGGGTTCTAGTGGGAGAGAGGGAGATCTAATTAAAAAGAGAGAGAACCACTGTTTCAGCCAAACTCCATAAGGTCTTGGGGCATCCCTGTATGATATTCTCACCCTGAGGGGAGAGAGCTGTTTCTTCCTGTTCTATAGCATCTCCAGCAGTGTGAGTGTGCAAGGACAGACTTCTTCAAGAGCAGATTGAGACATTGCTGGGAAGAGGCAAGAGTCAAAACGATTCAGAAATTTGGGTTGTATATGACCTTGAGCAAGTCACTTAATCCCTGTGAGCCTCAGTTTTCACATCTGTAGAATGTGAATAATAATCCCTATATTCCTCATAGATGAGATCCTGTGAAGTGCTTCCTAAATTGAGGAGGGGGTCACAAGTGTAAGCAATAGGTAATAATAGTTAGATCTGATTTCATCTCCCATCTTGGACTGTAAAGACCTTAAAGTCAGGGACCATGACATGTTGTTTCTCAATGTGAGCACAGGTTTTTTTTTTAAGATGGAGTCTTGCTCTGTTGCCCAGGCTGGAGTACAATGGCGTGACCTTGGCTCACTGCAACCTCCACTTTCCAGGTTCAAGTGATTCTCCTGCCTCAGCCTCCTGAGTAGCTGCGACTACAGGTGCAGGCCATTACACCTGGCTAATTTTTGTATTTTTAGTAGAGACGGGGTTTCATCATGTTGGCCAGATTGGTCTTGAACTCCTGACCTCAGGCAATTCTCCTGCCTCAGCCTTCCAAAGTGCTGGAATTACAGGCACGAGCCACCATGCCTGGCCGAGCACAATTTTTTGAATGGGCTTGAGATGCTGTTCCCAAGTGTCTGGAATGTTTTCAGGAATGGACTTGCTATGCAGAGCTACATATTTATCTTACACATACCTCCATCAGGCCAAATCTGACAAAAGTGAGTTAAGGACCAGCCTCATTGCATCCTGGAAAATCCAAGCCAAAGCTCCTTCAGTAATTTATGGGATTACTTAGTTCAATTTTCCAAGATAGTTCTGAAACATTGAACCCAATACACTTTGCTTCTACTTTTGCTGTGACTCAAATATTTCTCCTGAAAGTGCTTTCTTGCTTTCCCTCGTATTCTTTCAGCCGTGTCATTTGCATCTTCACTTGCCTCTGGATTTTCAGTTTGCCCTGTGAACTGCATTCCTTTGCTCAGACAGGGGTGGGGAGGAAGCGTGGGCCAGGAAACCCCAGCACCCCCAGCTAATGCACAGGAGCAGTAAGCGTGGTGATTACTACAATTGTTGCTAGTGGAATAGTGAGCCATTAGCTGGTTCTCACCCCTCTATTAGTATTACCCTGTAATTTAATCACAATTAATCTCCTAGGAACATAGACATAGGAAACAGGTGGGCAAAGGAGGCAGCTAGCAGAAAGCAACAGCAATTGGGGGGTTCTAATTCAAGCCACTGTTTTCAGAAAGTGCAGGGCCAAAGAAGAGTGGAGTTGGAGCTTGGAACAAGGCAAATGGGTAAATGATTAATGAGACTTGGCATTTTATTTTCTAGCATTGAGGCTGGGGACTGGCAAATATTGATCTCATGTACGGGACTGGGCTTGTTTGATAGCAATAGGGATTGAAAGAGGTCTTGGAAGGTGACTCAAATCCCCTTCACTTCCTCTCCTTGGAATCTGTGGGGAGGAAGTTCTCAGAGAAGGTTCTTACAGAGGTTCTCCATTGTCTCATCTGGCTTCCCACCCTGGGGTCCAAATCAGGCTGTTGAGTCTATGTTGCAATCAACATCCCTTCTGTGGCCCTGCTCTGACCATTCTGAGGGGCTCTCAGAAGACTCAGGCCTGGAAGACTCATGACCATTCTCTGTGGCTATATGTATTACTGGGAAGTAGAGATGAGGGTGGTATATGTAGCTAGAACTGGAAGTAGAAGAAATTGTGAGGTAGAGAAGATTGGATAAGGGTGTTCTTAGACCCTCCTGCAGGTCTGTTTTCCCACTCAAGCTTCAAAACCTGGGTCCCAGTGTAGAAGGGAGGAACCCAAGCATTTAAGCCTCTCCTGTTACATCACTCTCCTACTATGGAACTGATCCATGAAGAAAAGAGTCAATTGTGAAAGTTTCAGCCCAGCCCAGTCCCTCTATGGCCGCAGTCAAGTTGTTAATGGCAGAGACAGATGAGGGCACTGTGGGAATGTGGGGGAGAGTTGAGGGAAGGTTGGAGAAGGGCAGGGGGAGCAAGAAGTTGGGACCCCAAGCAGTTATAAGTGAAATTAGGAAAAACGTTGGAGGCGTCCCATTTCCCTTTATTCTCTCTACTTCTCTTACCAGTCAGGATCCAGTCCTCCTACAAGTCCACTAAAGTATTTAATAACTGAACATGCTTGATATGTTTTGGCTATGTCCTCACCCAAATCTCAAACTGTAGCTCCCATAATTCCAATATGTCATGGGAGGTATCCAGTGAGAGGTAATTGAATCATGGGGATGGGTCTTTCCTGTGCTGTTCTTATGATAGTGAAAAAGTCTCCCAAGAGCTGATGGTTTTATAAAGGGGTGTTCTCCTGCACATGCTCTGTCTCTTACCTGCTGCCATGTAAGACGTGACTTTGCTTCTCCTTTGCCTTCTGCCATGATTGTGAGGTGTCCCCAGCCACGTGGAACTATGAGTTCATTAAACGTCTTTTTCTTTATAAATTATCCAGTCTTGGGGATGTCTTTATTAGCAGCATGAGAACAGACTAATATAATGCTCAAGGGTATTAGGAGAGCATTCTGGCATTCCAGAAGGTTCTGGAAACCCAAGGCTCCTTCCCCAAAAGAGAAGGCAAGACCTGAGTGCATAGGAGAGAGGATTTCTCCCTCTTTCTGACTCTCTTGGCATCAGATTCTCCCCTTCTCATGGTAACCGTGAGATCCCAAGTTGGAGAGTTTCCAGAACAGTTCTGGTTTTAAATATTTTATCCTATTGTCCTCATAAGTACTTGTGAGTCCACATGCCCTGATTTTGTTGTGGAAAAAACCCATAAGTACAATTCTAGCTCAGAGTATTTCCTGTCCAGCTGAGTCTACATAAATCTTGCCTTTCCCTGGCATCTAGGCATAGTGGCATTTGGAAGATTTGTTGGAATCTTAGCTAAGGAAAATTAGCTTGCAAGTTGGTATAGGAGCAAAGGATAGGTAACCTCCATGTTCCTTGGGAAACAGTTTAATTCTGAAGCCCCCCTAAAAAGAACTTAGGCAAAAACCCATTCTCCTTATGGCTCTATGGCATTAGAGAAAAGCTTCCAGCTTTTTAGAATTCTCTCTCTCTCAATAGCTCCCTGATTTAAAAATAAATAATAATCCCTCCAGTAGGAACAGAGGCCTGGCATAGTGGGTCACACCTATAATCTCAGCATTTTGGGAGGCCAAGGCAGGTGGATCGCCTGAGCTGAGGAGCTCAAGACCAGCCTGGGCAACATGGTGGAACCCCAACTCTACCAAAAATACAAAAAATTAGCTGGGCATTGTGGTGTGTGCCTGTGGTCCCAGCTGCTTGGCAGGCTGAGGTAGGAGGATCACTTGAGTCTGGGAGGTGGAGGTTGCAGTGAGCCGAGAGTGTGCCACTGCACTCCAACCTAGGTGACAGAGTGAAATTCCATCTCAAACAAAAAGAACAGAGAACAGAGGCTTTTAATCCATAATGAGAGATGAAAGCTACCTCATCTCTTTCTCCTGGGGCATTCTTTTTTACACTGAAGGTTTCTGGATCCTGACCCTTGGCAAAACTTTAAAACTGTTATATATATATGTATGTGTGTATATATATATGTATGTATGTGTATATATATGTATGTATGTATGTTATATGCTATATATATGCTAGAAGAATATATAAAATATCAATCATATAATATAAACATATATAACATTAATTATATAATATAAAACATATATTATAAATTGGAGACTATATTTAAATAGAATGTGATAGAAGAGAGAAGGGAAGAGAGCAGAACATATCAGAATGCATTGTACTTGGTTTGTGTAACTACGGTTTCATGAAACATGCTTCTGTTTTATCTACTGATAGGTATGTGTGCCCTCAGTCACTATGTAAAACGTGTCCTGTAGATCACAGTTAAAAAAATATGAGACCACTCTCCTGGGAGAGGCCACGCAATTCCTGTGTTCACACTGAAGTAGCACAAAGGCAGACCCTCCCTTGAGAGCTGGTTCCATAGGGTGGAGAAAGGAGTTGCAGGCTGCTGAGCGCACCTGTGTGGGGAGGAGCCTGCCCATGGGGGTGAGACAAACGTTGCTGAGATGGGAGAGGAAAGGGCCAGAGTAGAAGCTACTTCTGTCACCTTTGCAATAGCAGCTGCAAGGCACTGAGTGCCAACGGCCCACAAGGCCTTCTGCCAAGTGCCTTAGATGAGTTGCCCCTTTCAAGTCTCACCACCCCATAAGAAAGAGGTGTACTATTATTACTGTTACATTTTATAGATGGGGAAACTGAAGCTCACTTGCCTGTGGTCACATTGTACACTGCAAACCAAACTTGGTCCTAAACCCAGGTGAGCCCAATTTTTCAGCACATGCTCTCGTGCAGTCACAGTCAACAGTTCCTCTTTGGGGTCTGGGGTTAGCCCAGCATCACTGATCAAGGTCTGCCAGCCTAAGCCCAGGCTGTGAATGCAGGGCAGGCAGGGCCAGGAAGCCAAGGAACCCAGGTTCTACAGCCCAGGGCCCCCGGACTGATGGCTGCGAGGGTGGCAGCCTGTTCCCAGCCCTGCTCCTGCTCACCGCCTGCTTTGCCATCGCAGAATATGCTGCTAATTATAACCAAACACAATGAGCAATCGCAGCCTGCTGGCGGTGGAGCACTTGTTGGAGGTCTGGCAGGCTTTTCATTCGACTTTCCCCGAAGCCTGCAGGCGGTGGTGGCAGGAGCCCTGGGCTCTAGCTCCCTCCTCCCCTTCCCTTTCCCTCAGCTCTGGGCCAGGTCCACTCAATTCCATCAGTATTTTCTTAGCTCCTACTGGGCACAGGTTCTGGGTTCAGTGGTGGAGGTGGGCAGGGTCGCAGGTGGAATTAGAGCCAGGCCTCTGTTCTTGCCTTCAGTAAATTCACCGTCTCCGTTGTCTCTTAAATAGAATTTTAAAAGCCAGGCGCAGTGGGTTGTGGCAGTGAGAAGAGAGGTTTTGCTGCGCTTTGTGTACTTGACCGTTTCTTGGAGGCCCTTTCTTGGGCTTTGTGAAATTTATTTTTTGCTGTGTTCGATAATGTGGGGGCACAAAAGTGCTTGCTCTGCAGAAATGATCTCTGGTGGTGCTCATTTCTGCAGGATGTCTCAGGGAGAGAAACTCTTTCCAAATCTTGGAGAATGTAAGCCTGGGCCAATATAAGAGATGCATAAGACTTTACAGGGCTTGGAACCCAGAGAAGGAGACTCTGAAATGCCTATGTTGAGGGCTCAGGAATCTGGGAAGGGTGTGAAAGGAAGGACAGCCTCAGATGGTGGGACATCTGCCTCTGGTTCTGGGGAAATACACACAGATATTTCTGGGTTGATCTTCAGCCAAACTTCCAAGTAAGTCAGATTTATCTTTAGGTCCCTTCATTCCTCTCTCACGCTTCCTGGCATCTAAATTCCTTCTGGTGTACCCAAGGGACATTCTTCCTGTCCTCTATTAGGGCTTCTTTATCTGCTGTCAGCCAATCGCATTAAGGTTTTTGTTGCAAATTCACCAAGATAGTATTCCTCCAGGGAGCTATCACTGGATGGTAGGGATAGATGGGTCCTGTTTACTGAGGAGTCCCCGATGCTTCCCTAGCAGAATGACCACCCAGAGCAGTAGAGCATGGTAGCATTGTGTATATTTACAGAGGGAATGAATGAAGAGGTGGGAGCAACGCCAGAGATCATCTGGTCCTCATTTTGCTGCAGATGGAAAACAGTCTAAGGCCCGGAAGTAGGGTGACCAACTGTTCCAGTGCGCCAGGGACTCAGACATTTCCAGCACGTGGGCCTTTCAGTTTTAAGACCGAGCAAATTGCTCCCTTTATGAGGGGCTGTGATGAGTAAGCCAGCACGAGCTGAGAAGGCAAGGAGAAGGTAGGATTTTGTGCACAAGAAAGATGGGAAGCACCAGACAGGGGAGGGAGCACAGGCCTGGAGAAAGCAATTTTTAAAAGAAGAAAAATAGATACAGCCAATAAATATATGAAAAAAATGTTCAGACTTACCGATAATAACAAAATATAAACTAAAGCAATTTTCACCTGTTTCTCAAGGATTTAAAACCATAGGAACACCCTGGGAAACCAAACACTTTCATTCACTGCTGGCAGAAATCTAAATTTTCTCAATCTTTCTGGTGGGGAAGTTTGGTTCCAGGTTTTAAATTATTGGGACACTGGGCATAAGATTCATTTCTTAGAATTTCTTAGAGTTTGACTTTAAGGAAACAATCAAAGATATGATCAAATTTTGGCAATTAGGGAGGCTGAGGCAGGAGGATTGCTTGAGCCCAAGAGTTTGAGATCAGCCTGGGCAACATAGTGAGAAGCACCCCTTTTGTTGTTGTTGTTTTTAGATGGAGTCTTGGTCTGTTGCTCAGGCTGGAGTGCAGTGGCATGATCTCAGCTCATGACAACCTCTGCTTCCCAGGTTCAAGTGATTCTCCTGATTCAGCCTCCTGAGCAGCTGGGATTTCAGGTCCATGCCACCACACCCTGCTAACTTTAGTATTTTTAGTAGAGATGTGGTTTCACCATGTTGGCCAGGCTGATCTCAAACTCCTGACCGCAGGTGATCTGCCTGCCTCAGCCTCCCAAAGTGCTGGGATTACAGGTGTGACCCACCATGCCTGGCAAGGCCCCCTTTCTACAAAAATAAAAAAAAATTAGCCAGGCATGGTAGTATACACCTATAGTCTCAGCTACTTGGAAGGCTGAGGTGGGAGGATCACTTGAGCCCAGGAGATCAGGGCTGCAGTGAGATATGATGAAGCCGCTGCATCCTGGATGATGACAGAGTGAGACTCTGACTCAAAAAAAAAAGTTTGGGGTACAAGGATTCTTATTTGTTTATTACCACTTTATAATAAAGTCAAGTTGGAGGACGAGCACAGCGGCTCATGCCTACAATTTCAGCACATTGAGAGGCCAAGGTAGGAGGATCACTGAGCTCAGGAGTTCAAGACTCGCCTAGGGAATATAGTGAGACCTCATCTCTACGAAATAATTGAAATTAGCTGAGCATGGTGGTACATGCCGGTAGTCCCACGTACTTGGGAGGCTAAGGTGAGAGGAGGCCTAGAGCCCAGAAGGCCGAGGCCACAGTTAGCCAAAATTGCACCACCATACTCCAGCCTGGGCAACAGAAGGAGACCCTGTCTCAAAACAAAATAAATTAAGTCAAATTGGTGGCAATTCAAAATTTCCTCTTAAGAGGCTGAATGAACAAAACAAATTTCTTGCTGGTCTTCCTGGTGGTCAGCCTCCACCCAGTTTTTGAGCCAAGCAATTCAGCTCTCCTTTTGTTCCACCTTCCACTTCAGGTTTATGCCCTAAGCCTATGTTTTAGATTCCAACAATTCTCTCCCGCAGAGGAATTTTGCCATTGGCTCTTAAACTATTTTTTCTAGCCATTCTCAACTTGCATCGCTCACATGGTGCATGGGCTGTTCTGCCCCTTGGTGTAGTTACTCATG